AAGTCAGCTAGTTATCACCACCACCGCCAACTCTTGGGCTACTCTTTTACCAATGAATACTGGGATTGAAAAGGCTGAAAAGGCTCGCATGTTTGGTGGGACAGGGATTCGAACCCGCCATCTTCATATTGGGAGTCGAGCACCCTAACCACTTGGCCATTCCGAGCCTTATTTACACCTATTTTCATGGAATTTCAGTACGTCGATTTATATTTATTTTGGGCATTGAACAGCAGACTGTCAAGACAAGGTTGGTGTGCATGAGTAAATCCAAAATCTGATATTATATTACCGGAATATCGATAATCAATGCTTTGAATAAACTAAAATTTTGTGAAGGTTATATAATTTTAACTTATAAGTTATTGCAAACTAATATTCAACTGTAAATAGAACCAGCAAAAATACAAACATCCAGCACTGTGTCAATGAATATGCAAAGCCGCCCTGTTGAAGCCTAAGTACAAATGAAATCATTTAGTTTAAACGTTTAACTAAGAATGTCCTAACCTGTTGCTTTAGATATGTATTTGCTTCACGACCACGCAAAGAATTTAATATAACAAACTAATATTCTTTCAGAGATAATTAACTTTAGCAATTGGTCTCCCTTATACGGGTACTCCATTTTAACCAAACGTTACATTTTAAAAAGTTATCAACCACCTAGTATCAACTTTAATAACTAGAACATAAGTTATTCACCTCTTAACTAAGGAGCCGTTTGATTGATCTAATGAAAACGTTATAGTGATCTCTTATAGAAGGCGAGATATTACCCAATCAGTGTCAGTTATTTAAAGTTTCTAATGTTCCATATTAGCGAGAGTTTGTGAAATGAAATTTCAGGAAATGCAACCATTAAAAAAAATATTAAAAAATATATTCGCTTGTAATTTAGCCCAGTGCTTTCAAACTTGAGCATACATATTAAAAAAAGAAGTATACTTCGCATCTTGTCGAAGAGGCAGAGTTCGACAACAAGATTTTGTCTTAATAACACGGCTGGCTGAACAATGATGCCGAGCTGGTTTTTCAGGGATTTACTTTCTGTCAACAATGATTTTCTTCCTTCAGCAAGTAGCGAACGGAGATGACATCGCGAAGCTGCCTCTCACAACTTCATTACTGTAGGGTCTGTCGAGCAGAATTAATATTAGCTGAAGATTTTAACAGCGCGAAAAAGCAATATCGAATGTGAACATTTGGCACAGTTGCCCAAGGCTGCAGATCAATACCAGAGTTCTGTGTGTGTTTCAGTCCGAGTCGTTTATTACATTCTTATATTTATCTGAAGCAAACTCGCACAGTTTTCAAACGGTTTTTATTTTCCCACTTTCATGCAAGTAAATACCTTTCAAAAAATATCAATTGTAATACCTTTACACTTTGAATTCAATGTATAAGTGAGCTTACATCTTTGTAGGTAAAAAAAACTACTTAAATCGTCCAGTTCAATTATCAAAATGAGATTTAGAAATACAGTATCAGAGTTCTGAGTCTACTAAAGCATATATTACCAGAGATAGGGATTTTCCACAGATTATGCAGGACCGGGTGTATCTTAGTATTTACTGTGCCGGACTGTTGATCGAAGGGTCTATGGATCGAGACATGTTACCACTGAACGTTCTCTACTGTGGGCAAGTTATAAAAGTTACAATCAATTCTGTTACACGATTCAAGGAACTGAAAAAGTCTTTGAAATGTCGAGTGCTACTGACTGTTTGCCTTTTCTGTAGTCAGTAGTTTAAAATTAAGAATTGCTGTAAGTGAACCATGGGAGTCTTTAGCATGGAGTAAGAAAAGAGCCTATGACGTCAAAGATTTCAATTCCTAGGCTGTGAAAAAAACAGAACAAATCCCATATTTTATTTTTGAAAACTATATATATATATATATATCCCTCTTGTATTACACATTTACGATATATATATATCCCTCTTGTATTACACATTTATGAGGGGGGGGGGTGTAAATATGTGTGATTTCTTTGGAATTTCCCGTCTTCTATTACACGTTTTAATATTACATATCTTAAGCAACGTCTCAACGGTGATGCTGTTCAAAAGTTAACTGTTCGGCCTTTTTTTAACAACAGTTAAAAACAACATACATCAAGACACTACATGGGTTGTCGGAGTGTTGGTTCAAGTGGAAATGTTCATTTCAGTTAAAAACTGAACAATTAGAAACGCAGATGTAAAAGTTAAAATGACACACAAGGTTTCATCAGACATTATCAGACAAGTGCACACCCGATAATAATTGTCTACGACAACTGGTTCCTGTTGGAGCCTGGTGGTAAGATTTCGCAAAGTGTTGCATTTTCACGTTTTTAGTTGTTTTAATCTTCTGTAAAGCTCAACTGAAATAACGATACTTGATTTACACATCAAGCTATAGACAGTTCTGGTTTCTGCGTCTGATAATTATTTCTTGGTTTTCCTTGTAAACAAGAATGGTATGTAATACACGTATATGACAAATTACGCTTAAATTAATAGGTTGTAACACCGAAAAAACGCTTAGGAACATGTATTTCAAACTAATGCATTTAGTTATATTTGCAGGATCTCTAAACTTAAAACTGTACAAATGACACTTTAGGAGGATATTTTTTTTACCTTTTAAGTGTCTTTAGATGTACATGTATACACCCCTATAAATGTTTTCTTATTCAAGATACATAATTTCCATGATAAAACACGAGAGGAAATACCACGTTCTGCCGTTTCACTCCTTCCAGGCACAAGTATTGGTTTAAAGATATGGGGCAACAACACTATTACTTTAACGTCAGTTCGAGGCACAAAGTACCAGTTCACAGAAGTGTTAGTTAATGTTGTACAACATTTCGGTTATTTGAAGAACAGAGTATCAGTTCATGGGTTTTATTAGGACACCCAAAATTTTCAGGTTCGTCAATGTGCACATGAATAGGATGGTGTAATGAATTATAATTGTTAAATTATAATCTTATTACACGTATAAAATCATATACGTTTAAACAAATTTTTCGGCTAACATATAAATGGAGATCTCCATTTTCATTTGAAATTCATTTTCAAAAATATAATAAGGAAAAAAGTAAACGGCTCATTCTTTCATGGAAATTACAAGCGGAAAACTTAACTGGGTACTTAAATACATCAGTGTCGGTTCATTATTACAGAAAATTGTTATCCACACACACACACATATATATATATATATATAT